TACCAACACTCCCCAGTGTTCCATTTAGTGTACCAAGACTCCCCAGTGTTCCATTTAGTGTACCAACACTCCCCAGTGTTCCATTTAGTGTACCAACACTCCCCAGTGTTCCATTTAGTGTACCAAGAACTCCCAGTGTTCCATTTAGTGTACCAAGACTCCCCAGTGTTCCATTTAGTGTACCAACACTCCCCAGTGTTCCATTTAGTGTACCAACACTCCCCAGCGTTCCGATACTCCCAGTGTTCCGATACTTCTTAGTGTCTTGCCTGATAACCAAGTTTTCCTGCGCCGACTCCTTAATTATCAACTTTAACGAGAGATATGTAATTAAAATATTCAAGATAATTCCATCAGACGTTATGTTCCCGTCAGAGACCATTGCTAGCACCATCAGCGAGTATATTGCATTCCCAGGCTGCACGGCAGCCGCCAGAAATTCTGTGTCGAAATTCGAGGCTCTGGGGACAAGATAGGGAATACTTTGAATGTTAAGGGAGAGGGATGCGGGTGAAGGAGGGGATGGGGGTGTTGAGGAAGATGGTACAGGCAGTTAGGGACTTAAAATGCCAAGGGTAGCAAGTAGTTATATAGGGCTAGGGCGGTAGGGGTAGGCAAGTTATATTTTTTGTATTATACGCTTGTGATTGTGCTTGTATGTGAAGTGCTTGACAACTCTAGTGCTGACCACTCAAGTGCTTGCCACTCAAGTGCTTGCCACTCAAGTGCTTGCCACTCAAGTGCTTGCCACTCAAGTGCTTGCCACGCAAGTGCTTGCCACGCAAGTGTTTGCCACTCAAGTGCTTGCCACTCAAGTGCTTGCCACTCAAGTGCTTGCCAACTCTAGTGCTGACCACTCAAGTGCTTGCCACTCAAGTGCTTGCCACTCAAGTGCTTGCCAACTCTAGTGCTGACCACTCAAGTGCTTGCCACTCAAGTGCTTGCCACTCAAGTGCTTGCCACTCAAGTGCTTGCCACTCAAGTGCTTGCCACTCAAGTGCTTGCCACTCAAGTGCTTGCCAACTCTAGTGCTGACCACTCAAGTGCTTGCCACTCAAGTGCTTGCCACTCAAGTGCTTGCCAACTCTAGTGCTGACCACTCAAGTGCTTGCCACTCAAGTGCTTGCCACTCAAGTGCTTGCCAACTCTAGTGCTGACCACTCAAGTGCTTGCCACTCAAGTGCTTGCCACTCAAGTGCTTGCCAACTCTAGTGCTGACCACTCAAGTGCTTGCCACTCAAGTGCTTGCCACTCAAGTGCTTGCCAACTCTAGTGCTGGACCACTCAAGTGCTTGCCACTCAAGTGCTTGCCACTCAAGTGCTTGCCAACTCTAGTGCTGACCACTCAAGTGCTTGCCACTCAAGTGCTTGCCACTCAAGTGCTTGCCACTCAAGTGCTTGCCACTCAAGTGCTTGCCACTCAAGTGCTTGCCACGCAAGTGTTTGCCACTCGAGTGTTTGTCTCTCAAGTGTTTACGAG